AACCGGCAAGCAGAATCCACCGACACGCGCCGGATGCCGACACCAGGCCTCCATGGGAATGGGCTTGTCCGACTGAAGCTCGTACTCCGCCATACCCCACAGGTCCTGATACTTGGTCCAGTTGACCGGAGCTTCTGGTGGTGTTAAGCTGTTTAGCTCTTTGTGGGCCTGCCAAGAAAACCGATGTCCTGTCCAGGAGAATCTCTTGAGCTCCAAGACAAAACCCCCGAGACCGGAGACTTTCAAGAGGGGCCAGAGACTTCCCAGAGACGGCGCTCGCGCTTCCGGGTTTCGCTCCTGGCCCCGGAGGTGGACCGTCAGCTCCTGAGCCATTTTTCCGAAATGGCAACCATAGGCGTTTAGGTCGAGTCAGTTGACCCGTAGCGACTATCCGCAGATTGGCCCCATGCATATCCTGGCAAGTGACTCCAAGTGTGAGGAAATGAGGACCACACATGGTCAGCACGTGCCAATAGAGACAAACAAAAAGGCACGACACAAGGCACATATCCAGAACCGTGTTGCTTTGAACACTTTATGGGTAGAAGTCTACTTCAACCCCCTGCCCACCATAGAAAGCTTCGCGCGAGATCTCTCGATGAGATCAACACAGGCTGCACAAGATCTCTGATCTTGAAGCAGGTACTGTGCAGAAATTGTTTATACAGGCCCTCCACAGAAGGACCTGGGCAGGATCTCTTGGGAGGATATTTCTAGGTGTTCAAAGCGTCGTGGACAAAGCCTCCCTACAGGCTCTCTAGTAAGGATGTCTGCAAGGATTCTTCATTGGATGTCCCTAGACAATCCGACTGCAAGAGCTTACACAAGATCTCCTGCTGGCAGATCCGGTGCAGCTCGTAGAGAGGAGCTATATGAAACATCTTGCGCAAGATCTCTTCAGGAGATCCTTACACAAGGTTCTTGTGGGAGAAATGTTACGGAGTTGCAGAAAATTGCAGAAATATATTCACAGGACCTGTGCAAAATATGTTTCATCCTTCTGTCGAAAGTCTCACTACAGAGCCTCATTACTGGCTGCTCGAAGGTCACACATTTACTTAAGGGATGTCTGCAGGAAGCCTGTACAAGACCCCCTTGCATAATCTTGACTAAATATCTTTAGAAGGTCTTTCTTTACACGAAGCTCTATATATAGGTCCTGACACGCATAAAATGCGTAGAAGGTTGTGCAGGCGAATCTTAAATGAGCCTTGCAACATGGCGAGAGCGGTTGCAGACCGCCAAAGTCTGCACATGCTTCGTTTGCGATGATCAAAAATAAAAAAGCGAGTCTGATCCAAGACACATTGCGCAAGAGGTTCCCTGTCCATGTCCACATTTCCTGCCTGCGCCACGTCCAGAGCAATTGAACGAAGCCAAAGTCCGCAAAGAGTCAGCTTTCGTATTCAATTGTTCCGACACGCCTAAACCCTGCAAAGGGTGCACCAATACATCGTGGGAGGAATCTTTGCAGGGGAGCGCGGCAAGAGCGCCCCCGCGCAACGCACTTTTTGCGCGAGCCTGCGCTGTCGACGGTTGGCCCATTAAGAAAAGAACTGTTGCGCAAGCAAACAAGTCCCTTCGGACTATAGCCCTGCCTTACAGTTACCGTAAAGAAACCTCCATACGCAACATGCTTTGTCGAAAATTGAAGAAAAAAAAGTTCACGCGACTCTGGCCAGTCCTTGGCTGCCTCCTCCGGTGGCGACACCTTGTCCAGGCCTTTCAAGGACCAGAAATCGGCTCCAAAATGAAGGGGGCGACTCCCCGTGGCCAGGCGAAAAGAAGGACACTTTGTGGTGGTTCAATCTTTCGGTTGGTTGATTTTGAAGGGACACCCGGGAACGGAGAACCGGCCACCGGAGGCGTGACTGTTTTTCCTGAAACCCATCTCAGAGCCTCCCATTTTGAGGGGACCATGTTTCTCAACATGCCGACGGGTCTGTTTAGGCGCCCTGCAAACCCATGTTGTGGCAGCCTTTGACGACCTCTGTTCAAGGTGGCCTGTCGATGAGTGCGCTCTTCAGCAGCCCAGTAGCTTCCCCGCCTCCAGTCACTTCACTATGCATTCAAGTCCAATATGCAAACCTCCCTGCTAACACACGTGCGTTGCAAAGAACAGTGCAACTGTCCTGGCACCTATTTCCCCTGTTGGCCGGGGTGGGCTACCATCGGCGACATGAACACCAAGCTTTGTCTTTTTGAAAAGGAGTACCATCCCCTGCCATCCACATACTGAGTCATCGAGCCTGGTATCAAAGGAGCTTACCCAAGCGCATCGTAAACTGTCTCCACACCCATTTATGGTTGGAGATGAGATGTCGCCTACTAACCTCGAGATACCCAGAGATTTTGCTCGTGGCTCCGAAAAAGCATCTTGCCAGGCTTTCCTGGAGCAGGAAACCACCAGAACAGGAACATGATCTGTAGGTGGATTATTCAATGGAAGGGATCTGTTGGATCCATAGAATCCCAAACCCTCAGCTTCCCGTCCCATTCGCTCGCACGTCTTCCCTTTGGCCGCCGGAAACACGCGGATCTCAAGCGCTGTTTTTCTGGGCGCCCCCGCAGGCTCTGAACTCCGGGAGATATGCCTCGCAGCGCGCGCTCAGGGCCCCTTGACGGCATCCCATTGGAATCAACAGGCCGTGGGTTTTTTGGGCGGTTTCTGACACCAAATTCATGGGGCTCTGGGGGGGGGGAGGGAGCCCAAATAAGCCCGAAGGCCTTGTTTTGGGCTTATGTGAGCTCCATCACCCTCCCCCTCCCTCCCCCCAGCCCCCATGACAAATGCACGAAAAGGGATTGGCTCAAGGAGCAAACAGGCACCTTGGTCCACCAAAAAACGACACAAACGCAGGGTCTGGCATCGAGAGATGGGGCTGTCAAACCCTGACTCCTTGACCATTTGGGTATGTCTTTGTTTATGCCATGAGGCCATGCTAAAGTGGTGTTTTTTCCTGTTGGTTTCCTTCTCCCTCAAAAAACACAAACACACACACACACACACACACACACACACACACACACACACACACACACACACACACACACACACACACACACACACACACACACACACACACACACACACACACACACACACACACAGAAACACACACACAGAAACACACACACACACACACACACACACACACACCGCAGCCGCAGCTGCCTCATCTTCTTGATTGAAATACAAGCAGTCCACGATGCACAGCAATGTCCGCTTTGGCACTAGCTGTTGGGATTGATGCTTTTGGATTTGGGATGGGAATCAGGGCTATCAACTAATCAGGCATTGAGACATAATATGATTCAATCAGGGCTATCAATCCAGCCTCAAGGTTTGCAGGTGCAACCCCATCGGACCATCGTTTCGTTTCGTTTCGTTCCTTTCACAGCAGTCACAGTCCAACCAAAAGCCTCACATTGGACCCCCAGGCGCCGAGCAAACAGTGAGAGGCCTCACACAGGAAAGGTTCAAAGTACTTTAGACTAGGTTCTGATGCAACAATTCTGAGAACTATTCCCCAGACTCCCAGTGGCCATCGGAAGGAAAACAAATAAGCTCTGGTGATATCCCCAACAGCATGCGGTGCTCTTTTTAGTCCCGTGGAACCCTCACGGAACCCTGGTGGAACCTGGTGGCACCCTCGTGGAACCTTACCTGAGGGCCGCCCCGGACCACCCCGGAGCCTATCTGGGCTGAGACCCCAGAGACCCCAAAGCTTTCAGCTGTTGGGGAAAGCCCCCCTTCTTTGGTGGGTGCCTTTCAAGGGAACTCTCCAACAGGGATCCTTACATTATACACCTGAGCATTGCCTTGTAAATGGTGGCTTCCCTTGTTTTGGCCACATGTTTCAACTGGTTTCAAAATGGAGATTTTTTAAGGAGCCCTGTTGTTCTTTTGTGTTTTTTGCCCAACCCCAAAATGGCTCCGGCCCCTATCTTTTAAGGAGCCCTGTCCCAGAAACGGAACAACGGAATCCAAACGAGGTCTGACCAGTCGACACAGGCCTGTGCCAAATTCTCGGTGGCCAAGAGGTGAAAGTCCTGACCGAGGGCTCTCTGGGGTCGGCGAGGGGAGGGGTCTAGGGTCTGGGGGCTCTAGGGTCTAGGAAAAGAGGGTCTAGGGGTCGAGGAGAACTTTGGATTGCCGGGTTCAAGTAACCCAACTTCTTGGCTACAGAAACGGATTGCCAAACATATGCGTGATGCGTGGACAAAATGTAACTTGAGCTGCACCTCGTGAATGTGGACTCGCTGGATGAGATCATTGAAGCCACGCAGAACTGAACCAAAATCCCTGAACGTCGCAGCATGTGGACTTCCTCCGGCCAAACGTGCGAGTTCAGAGGTCTCCAGCCACCAGCCACCATGCCACGCTGCTATCTTGAAGGGAGGAAGCAAGCCCAAGTCATTCCCTGCTTTGAACACTGCTTCAAACATGTCAGCACTGGACTTGCTTGCTCTCAGAAGGGAATATGTTGAAACGAAGTTGTCTAACCGCAAAGGGATCCTTGCTGACAATGCTTGGTGGGGAATAACGGAATAACCATAATTTCTATGTTCTGTACCGAGAACAAGCAAATACAAGTGTAAATACCGATGTTGTTGCCTGGCGCTTATAAAAATCTCTTCAAGGGCTCCGTATGAGGACGAGCATTCATCATTTGGGGCCAAACTCCTGGTATGGCTCCCCGAAAACGCCTGTATATTTTGGGGGCTTGCAGGAACACCCTCAAGGCGCAGGATCGCCATTGGATATGTTCGCATACCGGCGGTTGGGCACGTCGATTTTGGGCCGTAGATTCCAAAGGAAAGCTTCTCGGGAGCTGGCCTCACAGCCAACTCCGACCATCTGTTGCAATTACATCAACCAGCACAATGGTCCATCACAGCGTTCCCCTTGTTCCCGATTTCGCGAAAACAAGCGCAGTGGCCGTTTCCCTCAAAGTCAATGATTCTTGATGAAATGCTACACCCATGATCAAAGTCAACCAGTTTATTCATCCTGGTGGACAGGCACCAGGTGGAAGAACGTCAACATACTCGCCATTTTCGCAGGTCTGACGCCGTTTTTCTCGTCAACTCGAGCAGCAGGGGCCGCACTCGCTGGCCGGCTCCGAGCTTTTCATCAGCCGGTCGATCTCCGTGAGCGCGTCCAGCGCGCCCACGCCACCCACCGACACCGCGCGGCTCGCGATGTACCCGTTCACGTCACTGTCGTCCCAATTGATGCGCACAAGCGAGGCCTGGCGAGTCTGCTAAGAGCGATTGAGCTTTCTTATCTCATTGTCCCCCTGAATCTTGCTCCATGGCGCACTCTAAAAGCTGTTTCATTCCGCTTACCGGCATGTTTTGGCGCACATGACGCACGGGTGCTCAATTGACAACCTGGGCGTGGATTCCATGCACGAATTTTGCCTGGCATTGGAAGGTGCACACTATGAACCCCGGCAGGGGGGCATGCAGCTTACAGCTGCTGAACCCAAGTCGGGGCATAGGTTCTCTTGCAATGATCCCGACAACCTTAACCTGGCGACTTGTTTCAGGGGGTGCAACGTGGTGCAATTCCCCAAAAAGTGAAGGATCCCCACCGGACAACGACGCCCTCGATTCATCAACCAGGCTCAAACTGTGCTTGGCTCCTGCCCTCCCCCCCCAAGAGCCAAGAGCCAAGAGCCACGGCCCTTTCTGAAACTTGCTCCTTTTGGGAAGAAGGGGACATGTCAGTCTTTCCCTGAACTGAAAGCAAACCAAGTCCGTTCGAGCAAGCTCTGAAACAAAACGAGCGGATATCAATTGTTTGTTGGGCAAAAAAGGAAGCCCTTCATATGTTGAGCTCATGTGTTGTTTTGTGAAAACAATCTGAAATACCAGGCAAGAATAGTGTGCATTGTGACCTGCAGCCAACTGATTGTTGGCCTTTGTCACTTCACCAAAACCCTTGAAGGGTCCATCACAATCGCAATGAACCCTTAACTGGCAGGTGCTTGAAAACTTTGCGTTTGCTCACCTGTTTGTCTGTTTTTTGCAAACATGTTCCTCCATCCGATGAGCCACCCTCCCAACCTCCCAACAAATCTGGAAGTGGTCAGGCTCCCTTTCCAAGAAGAAAATCGTCTCCAAACCGGGTCTGTGCACCAAAACAATGTTTGCTGGGAGAGCACGTAACCCCGTTTGCTCATTTGCATGTTCTTGTTCTGTTACACACGCGCATACCCTGTTTTTCTGCTCCCCGGCCATCGGCCAGCCAGTGATTTGACTACACAGCGCCTGTGGAAACTTCCTGAGCGTCGTCTCCGAGGTGGACCGAATGGTGGGCACAGCCTTGCCTCAATTTTTTCTTGCGAGCGCTTTCGCGCGAGGCAAAACGCAAACGCCAGGGGCTTCCAGTGTTGCTCCTGTTTCCGTTTGGGTCCAAATCAGAAATCCTACACCTCGGGTTGTGGGGGGCAGTAGTTCTCTGGGAGCATGTGTTTTTTCGGCAGTCTTTGAGGGACCACCAAAAATCGCCGACCCAAAAAGTCTCAGCTGTGGCCATCTCTTCGCCAAACCGGAAAATAAATTTGAAATTACTTCGCTTCGAGCAATCCCCACCCTCCACACTCACGAGCTTACGACCGTGAACACGGTTGTGTGAATTCAAGCATGATTTTCGAGTGGCTTGGGGCCTATGACTGCTCAACAAGCTTTGCGTTGAGAGCCTTCTCCACCTGTCTGTGTGTCAAACTCCACTTGTCTGCGAGCCGATCTCGAGAACTCAAACATTGGTTCCGCTAACAAAAGCCAAGCCCCTTCCAAAAAGAAACCCGACGGGGGATTAAACGAAGTTGCTTATTCGCAACCCAAACCAATGCAAACGCATCGCCCTTTCCGAGCCTCAAGACACGAAGGCACCAAACATGAAAACATGAAATGTAAACCCAACTGCGCGCCAGGCGGGACATTAAGCAAAACCAGGCTGGCGAGCTGCTCTGGCGGGATACTGGCGGGATCCACTGGCGAATGCTGGCGAGCAGCTCCGGCTCGATACTGGCCGGATACTCGGCAGGATCCACCGGCAAGGGATACTCAGCAGGATACTCGGCGGGATCCACCGGCGAGCTACTCTGGGAGACTCAGCGGGATACTCGGCGGGATCCACTGGCGGGCTGCTCTGCGGCGGGACCCACTGGCAAGCTACCCTGGCGGGATACTCGGCGGGATCCACTGACAATCTGGAAAACTGAGCGGGACACTCGGCGGGATCCACAGTGGGATACTCGGCGGCGGGATCCACTGGCGAGCTACTCTGGCGGGATACTCGGCGGGATCCACCGGCGGGCTGCTCTGGCGCAGGATCCACTGGCGAGCCGCTGTGCGGCGGCGGGATCCAGTGGCGGGCTGCTGTGGCCAGCCGCTCTGGCGAGATACTTGGCGGGATCCACTGGCGAGCCGCTCTGGCGGGATACTCGGCGGGATCCACTGGCGAGCAGCTCTGGCGGGATACTGGGCGGGATCCACTGGCGAGCTGCTCTTGCGGGATACTCGGCGGGATCCACTCGCAAGCAGCTCTGGCGGGATACTCGGCGGGATCCACTGGCGAGCTCTGGCGGGATACTCGGCGGGATCCACTGGCAAGCAGCTCTGGCGGGATACTCGGCGAGATCCACCCACTGGCGAGCCGCTCTGGCGGGATACTCGGCGGGATCCACTGGCGAGCTGCTCTGGCGGGATACTCGGCGGGATCCACTCGCAAGCAGTTCTGGCGGGATACTCGGCGGGATCCACTGGCGAGCTCTGGCGGGATACTCGGCGGGATCCACTGGCAAGCAGCTCTGGCGGGATACTCGGCGAGATCCACACACTGGCGAGCCGCTCTGGCGGGATACTCGGCGGGATCCACTGGCGAGCAGCTCTGGCGGGATACTCGGCGGGATCCACTGGCGAGGTGCTCTGCGGGATCCGCTGGCGAGCAGCTCTGGCGGGATACTCGGCGGGATCCACTGGCGAGCAGCTCTGGCGGGATACTGGGCGGGATCCACTGGCGAGCTGCTCTGGCGGGATACTCGGCGGGATCCACTCGCAAGCAGCTCTGGCGGGATACTCGGCGGGATCCACTGGCGAGCAGCTCTGGCGGGATACTCGGCGGGATCCACTGGCGAGCTGCTCTGGCGGGATACTCGGCGGGATCCACTGGCAAGAAGCTCTGGCGGGATACTCGGCGGGAGCCACTGGCGAGCAGCTCTGGCGGGATACTCGGCGGGATCCACTGGCGAGCTGCTCTGGCGGGATACTCGGCGGGATCCACTGGCGAGCTGCTCTGGCGGGATACTCGGCGGGATCCACTGGCGAGCTGCTCTGGCGGGATACTGGGTGGGGGCGTGGTGTAGAAGCATCGCAAACACGGATTCCAACATAAAATCTAACAACCCCTTCCTGGCGGGTGGGGAAAAAAAACAAACTTCGGCCAGGCGCCGGCACCCACTTCCACGATCACCAGCTTCGCCTCCGGCGGCAGCTGCCGCTGCCACGCCTCGAAGCGGCCCCGCTGCTCCCGGATGATCCTCGGTGAAGCTGCGAGAGACCGGAGACGCGAAGCGAGGGGCCAGTGGGGAGGAGACCCAAGCCGCAGCTCTCAAAGGGAATATTTGTTTTAGAACTAAATTTGTCAGGAATGAACTTAGGTTAGTGAACTAAAAGTCTGGTTTGATGGTAGTGGGTCGGGTGGTATCCGCAAAGCCAAAGGGTCAGGATCAAAACTGGTTCAACTCGACGAGAGAAAACCAGCTAGAAAAAACAACGAGATGAATTCAATGGTTTGGCTTCAGCTTTGATGGTATGGTTCAACTCGACAATAAAACAAGAAGCACCAGGCCTGGCAAGGGTCGCAGATTCCGAAGGAGCCCTGTCAATGTCGAATTCAGGCAATGTTCCCAAGTTGATTGTTGTGTTGCTTGGTCGAGTCATTGGTCTGGTGTCAGTGTCGGTTCAGGATTTGGGAATTTGCTTTAGTACCGACTTAACATCCCTTGATTCAGCAGCAGCTGGTCAGGTGATGTGGGGATGGGGTGGAGGCTTTTTGGGGTTTGGAAGGTAACCTGTATCATTCTGAAAACAGCATTTTAGTCCAAAGCATTTGTCCTGCCTCTGGTTGTTTGATTTATTCTTGGGCGTTCATTCCAACGGGCTCCTCATGTCCACGATCAAGTTCGGTCAGTGATCACAGAAACCAAGCAAACACATGGGTGTGGGTCAAAAATAGGTACCACTGAATGGAGCCCTGGTAAATGGAGACAATGACTAAAACCTGTGGTCCCCTGGTGGTTTAATTTTGACACGTACCCAAATGTTGCATACTGCTCCTACCACTGTCCGTACGGGACTCCGATCGGTAGCTCCTTAGCTCCCTCATACCCCTGCTCCCGAACGGCTCCCCTCCAACCACAAGCTAGGCTCGGTACAGTGGTAGCACAGCATGGGTTCGGTGTCAGGGAGTGTGGTGGTTGAGTGCATGGCTCCTTGGTTCACACCAGCTAGGGCTGTTGCAGGAGGATGCTGTGTTGGGGCTTGGACACATTTTGTCATCACTCGGGGAACGGCTCTCCCCAAACCAGGAAAGACCTGCCCTGCAGTACTTCACTTCACTCGTACCCATGGAAACAGGGAAGGCTCCTTTCTGCAAATTCGGCCCTCCTTCCGCACATTTCTTAGGGGGTTGGGGATTGGAATTGGCTTATGCCAAAGGCTCCGGCAGTTCACGCCATAGTCGCCGAACATCAAGACGTTAGGCCGCGCAGGCTTGCCTGCGTTGCAAGCCAAAGTAACCAGCCGTCATCAGATCCAGAGGCCTCTTCCAGCCTGTTGGCAAGCTACCTGCACCCACGCAGCTCCCATCCCGCCCCATCTCGGTATTCTCAATGCTCCTCAACCTTGCTCCATGAGAACGTGACTTTTGACCAATCGACCAGGGGTCAAAACCAGTCGGACCCCCCTATTAATAGGCACCAGTGGAACACCAGCCAGTTGGGTCCCTGGTTTTGCCACCATGCATCTTTAGCTAACTTCCACATTCTTTCCAGGGATGCTTCTGTAGCTACCAACAAACGAAGCCGGGGGATACAGCTTTTGTGTAGAGAGCAATCTTTGCAAATGAATTCCCAGAATGTCGTCCGCTGGCAGTAGGCATCGATGAGTTTCAATGTTTGGAGCACAAGTCCCGATGTAAATCGTCGGTAAAAACCTCATGTAAGATCAACCAGGGCGGCTGCATCCATTTATGCATTGGATTATCCCTTACCAGCCTGCATCTGCCCGGCTTTCGATGTAGTTCTGTCCGCCAAAAAATCCAACCAATCAAAACCCGCCAAGTCCTCGCCCGGCGCACCCCTCCTCCTTCCGTCCTCCGTGAGACCGCGGCAGCGGGGAGCCCTCCAGCGCGCGCAGCAGATCCACGCCGCCGCTTCGCTTCAGCGCCTTGGCCCGCACCACGCGGCCCGACGCGTCGGCCAGGCTGGCGCCGTCCTCCTGCACCTGGCCGGTCGGGCTGCGAAATCGGGGGCAAACCCGCCGGAAGAACTCGGTGCAGCCGCCTTTGTATCTCCTTACGGCTTGGGTAGACCGCTTTACTAGGTTTGAAAAGGAGTCAAAAAGGCGGCTGCACCCAGTTTGGGATGGGATCAATCCTTGGTTGTGGACCTGAGTTGTTTTTCTTGCTGGGAAAACCGACATGAGTCAGAACCCAAACCTGGCAAAATGATCTATCCACGTCCATGAAAGGAGATACAAAGGCGGCTGCACCGATTTCTGGCCCAGACTGTCCCGTAGCAATCTTCATCTACCCGGGCTTTGGTTGTGGCTCACATGTTGCGGAGGAGTTAAAGGGTTGAAAGGTCAAAGAGCGAATGAGCAAGGCGGGAACTCGGCCCCTTTGTGTGATATGGGATTGTCTTCGCCATGAAGACTGTATCACTCCAAAGGGCTCCAGTGAAATCATAAGAACTGGCCCAGCCCTGTCTTCCACAACCATGGCTTTTTCACAGTTAGACTCCTGGGGGCGCTTTCAACTGAAAAGTAGCCCAAGGGGGTCCCTACTGATGGACAAAATCCTGCACCACTTAAGATGGATGGAACTCTATGAACACTAGGATGAACCACCTACCAACTGGTGCAGTTGTTCTGGTCTTTCGTGTAAAGTGCAAGTAGCATGAGAGAAGAAACCCGGGCCCCGCTCCATCCACACCCGCTGAAACATGCACAGCGTCACAACAAAAAGTACGTCACGTGGACGTGTGTCAACAGCTGTGGCTCCATTTTGGGGTGGATGAACATCCATTCGCCACCTATTTTGATGTTCACCAGTACAGGGTTTCGACCCACAGCTACATGGACGTGTCTGTTCAGCCCATCATCCCGCCTCGCCTTCGCAACGACCTCCAGGCCGTCCTGCCGTGCCAGGACCTCCGGTTGCATCGCTGACGTGCCAACAGCAGCCTCATCTGGTAGGCATGAAAACCGCAAGGAAGCAAATGGGTGTGTCTTAAAATAGGGGTGCCCCCAAAATGGTCAGTTTCCTTTTGGTTTCCCTTGAAAACCACCCCAAAGGGAGTACCCTCACCCAAATGTGAGCAAGGCTATTTCTGGGACTCCCCAAGACAGGCTCTTGCACAAATCATTTGGACCGGAAACGTGAAGATCTACCTGAATGGCAAGCATGAAGGCCCAAGCACGCTTTAGTTTTCCGTGCGGCCTCATGTTCTTGCCAGTTTTGAAGTCATTCCCCCCAAGCTTTAAGTTTCATAGCCGTCAAAAGCAAATCAAACATGGGCATGTGGAGTGGCTGAAGGAATGGCTTCCCGCGGTCTCCGCCGGGCTCTTCTAATCAAGCACAACAAAGAAATAACGCATGATCCCTACAGGCACAAAAAACAAACAACAGGGACTGCACTCTTTGCAAAAGCCCACCTAACCTAGGTGGTCGCTTTTGAACAAAATATGGGTCTCACTGTTAAATAATTGCAAGATCTATTTCAACCGACCTCACGAGCCACACATAAACATCTAGACCACAGGCTGGAGGCCCAACGCTGGAGGTCAATTTGCACTCTTACTCGTTTAACAATCTTGCAGGGGAATCGACTATGCGACCCTGGATGAAAGTGAACAACCTCTAAATCAGCCAGTGATTTGCTACTAGGATACCGATGCTTGAGGCGTGTTGGCCCTCTTGCGAACAAAATACTGCAAACTGCGCTGGGGCAAGAGTCGCGGGCGATGCGCATGTGTTTCAAAGTGCACCTGGTAAAAGGGGACTTCTTCATTTCGTCTGGGAAAATATCAACAAACCAGACACGCCGCAAGAGATTTGGTGACCCCGGCCCTTAGGTCCCAAGAAATATCAAGACCCGTTGGACACCCACGTCTCCCGTCTCCACCTCCTCCCCCGGCTGGAGGTCCCAGTCTGGCACTTGGATGTCCGACACCTGAAGCACGAAGGACTCACTTCCCATGCGGATGGGTCAGACAAGTTCTAGGGATCCTTCTTTCTAGAAAACCACCAAAAACCCTGGGAAAATGGCTGGCTTTTGAAAAGAAGGATGGCTGAATAGAATGGGGAATCAACCCCTAAAAAAGTAGCCACACCTTTCTTTTGCAAGCCACTACGATGGCGAGACCAAACCCCCATTTTAGTTGCTCGCTCCAGTCCAGTGAGGTACTGGATAGATGTTGGTGCCGTGGTTCGAGTTCTCCACATCGCTGCAAAGGGACCAATAGGTTTCACTTTACCCCACATTTTAGGGTAAGTGTGTCAGGATGTCGCTTGAATGGACGCAGCTCAGACCAGCTCTATCTAGCTTCGGCCAAACTGACCCAAAGGGACACCTGTGGCTCAACATGATAGAGCAAGTTAGCCAAATGTTTTCAAATACCAGGCTTTCCTGTCAGGTCGCTAGTCTCCAAGACTAGCATCCCACCCACTAACAATGGAACCCACCGGCGTGTCCCCTTTTAGAGGACAATGGTCTTCCAGGACCGGGTTCTGTGTCAGGTGCTAGGGTTACATTTAGCTATGTTCGAGAAAACACCAGCTCGCAAGTGGTGGACATGGGTCTGCTCTAAATGAGCCTAATCAAAACCCGGTATTGAAATGGTCTACCCAGAACCATGCACAGAATTAATATGGCGGACGCAGCTGTGCATGCCTGGGATTGTCCCTCCTAACCTTCACTTGCCCGGGTTTTGATTGTGGCTCGGTTGAAATACTTAGGGGAAACCAGAAGGAAACCATTGGAGGGCTGCCTCATTTGAGAAACACCCACATGAATCCCCACGGTCTCTGATGTCCACGAAGAGGTGCACTAGTGTGGATGGGCGAAATCCATTTCGCACCGCGTGATCAACCCTGGAAGGATCATTCCTCTGTAAATACTTACAAACACTGGTTTCAACCATGGTTTCTTATGCTATGTCCTCCAGTAGAGAGGTTATAATAGGAGCACCCTTTTTTCTGTAGTCTATTGTAGTAGGGGAACCCTTCCCAAAAAAAGGGGAAAAAGGGCACCACTGGGCGACAAAGATGCGGTGCGAAATACATTTCGTCCGAAGGGAAAACCTCCCCGGCCATTTCCGAGGACCACAAGGCCTTCGATCGCGCCTTCTCTGCCTCTGTGGGCCAAATGCTGCCGTCATCTTCCACGCACTGCAGCCGCGTGAGGGCCTCGGCGTGCGGAAGCGCGCTGCGCGCAACGCAGGCAAGCGAGAAAGTCACAGTCCTCTTCCTTATCATCATCCTCCTAGATGGAAGGGAAAGCAAAAGGAGAATGAGTACCCCTGTAGTTCTTGACAAGTTCTTAAAAGACTTTGCGGGGTTGGCTTGAGGGAAACCAAAATTGAACTAGTTCCACTGCTACTGATTGGAGTTCAAAAAGCAGCTAAAAGGAAACCGCCCTTTTGAGGATTCCCCCACTTACGGACACGCGCAGTCCAACAACGGAGTGCTTGTGCATCCGTTGGGAGAAAGTTTGACATCTCAGGACACCTACGCTTTGTTGCGCAGGCTCAGCCAAGTGTTCCAACATGTTCCAACTCAGCACAAAGCTGTTTGACAACTATGGGATCACCCCTGGGCTTTCCTCAAATCTGCTGCTAAAAGTTTAACCTCGAGTGGGTTAAATGGAAATATCCCCACTAAACTCTAAAAGGGGGAATGGCTGCGAATCAGAACGACCCCAACCTGCTGTTTCTCAGGGAATAAACCGCGATCCCCGATGGTCCCTTCGGCGCCCTGCGAGCAGGTGCCGCTCGAACAACAAGCTATGAATTGAAGATCGGAATATGTGTTCTAGCTTTCTACGCCCACTCAACCCACCAAATCCATGCACGCCCTCACCACTCTGAAGATTTGAGACTGACTTGGCCAAAGACAAGTCTCGCTCAGAACACGAGGAATGAAGGAAAGCAATTCAACCGGAGACCCTCTCATGAAGTGGACCGCCAAGGGGCCTCAGAGAAAGCTCACCTTCTACAAGAAGGCCACAGGTGTTCCTGATCGCCCACAGGGAACATCCCTATCGCAGCCAAGTCACTCCGTGGCACTCGTAGACCTTGCCCGGGCCGACGCCTTCCGTGCGATCCCAATGGCCGTCGATGTTGGACGTCACCGAGAAGAGCCCGTGCCTTGCAACAGTGGAGCTCCACTCGTGAATGTCCTCGAAACACGATCGGTATGTTCTTGTTATCTTTAGATGCAGCGTGGGTGATAGGGAAATCTCAACGAAGGACGTTAAACAAAGACTCCTTCCAGGTTCATGATGGTTCATCCACTGCGCCCACAACAGAGTATCAACCTGCGACAACCTCACCACGAGAAATGTTTTACTATTTTGCTCCTTTCAAGGAGATGTCCTCGACACACGAAATGCCCAAACCCGTTTCCCACAACTATGCATAGGGGTCAACATGGTTCAACATTTGCGCTGGTGCTACCGGAGCTGAGGCTGCGTGAGTGAGGCTGCAAGCCCCACCTTGCACCAAACACAAACAATACATCTACCCAAACTTTTGCCCCCAACCCAAAAGCGTTTGGGTCTGGGTTTCAGCTTAGGCTTTCGGGTTTAAGGTTTCAACCAAAGCATGTTTGAATCTAGTACATACGTTGTGAACCTCAAAACTCAAATACCCTAAACAGAGGGCAAAAAGTGCCGAAACTGAAATGAGCATTACGCCCTTGCTTGGATTGTACATGATGAGCGTTGCAAGAATGCCTCTAGAAAAAATTAGACATAAATACCAACATGTGAACATCAAAAGTCACCGAAGACAAAACCTTCAGAGGTGGCCCCAGCCCATGACACGCTTGCCTTCGCAGGGAAAAGCCAACCAACGACAATGGCTGATCTTGTTGCTTGCTCCAAGTTGTCAATCTGAAACAAGGGAGTAGTGCAACTTGCCTCGATTTGGTTTCATCTACTTGACTTCCGTTCCCAGCCACGTTGATTCATCCCGGCGCGCTGATTGAAAATCCCAGGGGCTTCATGGCGTTGCCCCACTGCGAGAGCAAAGAGTAGCCCTGGTGGGGCGCGCCCTGCGTGTAGGCTTGATGGCGAAATCGCCAAAATGCCCAGGCGAGCCTGGCATTCCGCAGGGAGAGGAAAATGGCCATCACACCACAGATGGGGAGGGAGTTGGGTTAAGATCGACTTAAGGTCCCAGGCCCACAAGGGATAAAGCTATATAATAAGACTCTGATTTCTATTGGACTCCTACATGTCACTCCACTCGAGTGGGCATGCAGAACAGCTTGTTGTTGTCCCTTCGGGTGGCTGGACTTTTCGAATGGATGATCCTTGCTGCCACAGACTGCTTGGAGTGTCAAAAGCTTTGCCACCTCTCTTACACGTCTGGCTTGGTGTCCTTTCAAGCCATCCAAATGGATGAGAAAATAGGGATGGCCAAATGCCTAGCCACGCAGTCCTCATTCCCACCCAAATTTCGGGCCACTTGCGTGTTCCCTGTCCCCAATGGCCCCATGCGGCTGTCCTTCCAAGGGACACATCAGCCGGGCCCTGAACCACTTCCCCCCCGCACCCGGTTCGGCCGAACGGCCCGGAGGTTCGGCCTGGGGTCGCTGTCGAACCAACTGGGGCTGGACATCTCCTGGAAGTCCATGGACATCGCCTTCAAAGGCCTGGCGAGCCAAGTCTCAGCCTCCATTTGCTCAAGTCCCCTGGGGCAAAAATATGTCCAGTGATAGATTCCCTTTAAAACCAACAGGGGAAAATAAAACATATGCTTAACCAAATGGAAGTCAGCCTTCATGGAAACCAACCTTTGCACAAGATGGGCCCCAAGGAGTTGGGTGGAAAATGGGCCAACCCTTTCTGTGATGCCCAAGTGAGGCTCCCATCCCCCACTACTTTTCGCAATGAAAAAGGGGATCCCCTGAAAGGGCGGCCCTAAAACCCAGGAAGATTTGTATCAGGCTTGGCATTGGCGCTGCCTTGCCCACTCCTCTGCAGTTCCTGTCGTTTAGGGTGTCACGGTGCAAACTCGCCCCTCAGAACAGGCCCATGTCCTCGTGTTCTGTTCATGAACCTAGGTGAATAATAGCAATAACAGTGGTCTGATCATCATACTGAAACATACTAGTGACAGCTACAATAAGAGCAATAATCATAGTATATAATTTAATGGTGATCATAATGTGGCCAATGCCATGCCGATGCCCATCGTTTGCGCGTCCGTGCAATGTTGTAAACCCTCAATCCTGAAACCAAGCCTAAAACCCTACACCTAAGCCGCAAACTCAAGCCCTAAACCAATACCTAACAACCTGAAAACTACACCCTGAACCCGGACGAACCATTAAAAAAAACAAAAACAAAAACCTCGCCTAAACCCAAATCACAAGCCCACGTGAACCTTACACCAAAACCCGCTTGCCTAAACCCTAAACCTATCGCATCGAGGGCTGCACCTTGAACTGGTAGCACTAGCAAGTGCCAGGACAATGGGCTGGGTCATGGGGGACCCAATCCTACACTTGGGGGAGGCCAATCTGACCCCAAAATTATTCTGCCGGTTCTCTTTGTACGCGTATGAATTATAGTAAGGGACCCTCTGGCGGACTTCATTTAGGTCAGGATTCATGTCCACTAATCGCTTTTGAGGTGGTTCCCTATTAAGATTCATATTCACAGGCAACTAGTGCCATACATCATAAGCAACACGTGAGGTCTTGACAGAAACGGATCTGGGTAGACTTGTGCCAATCCAAAAAGGGGGAAAGAGCACACGACACCCCCAAAACCCTCTGCAAGTTACGGAGAAAGGCTTGGAGACGCGTGCTGGAAAAAAAGTGGCCTTACGTACATCTCTTCACAGTGTCAAACCAATGTCCGTGGCACTGTGGCAGACCCTGGCCGATTCGACCACATCTGCCTGCAGGCTCAAGAAATGGCCCGGTCGGGATTGCATTGGACAAAGAGGAACTTCCCCGGAATCCCCTTAAACTGGCAAGGCCAATGGCAAACAATGATTGTGGGTCAGACTTGCGGCAATATTTCACCAACTCAAAACCACTCCAGACCAGTCAACACCACACAAGGTATAAGCATATTACTCATTCGTAGTATTTTCATCATTCCCATGGATGGGCCCTTCCTGGCTCGCCATTGGGAGCGCCCGGTCCCTTAACTCCGCCGGCGGCACGGCCAAACCCCGGCATTGCGGCCCCTGAAGGTGCCAAGGCCTCGCAGGAGTTTGATCCCAGTGGCCAACTCCTGGATGTTTCTAGGGGTTCAGACGGTTCAGACCACTAGAGGGGAACACCTGCCTATGAAGACTTGGGTCAGTATGGTCAGTCTTGTTCTGAGTTGGTACCCCCCCCCCCCTTTCAGGTCAGTCTTGTTCTGAGTTGGTACCCACTCTCTGCTTTCACCATTTGTGGGGGAAGCCCATTTGGAGGGGGAGCACCTCCCAATGAAAGGGAAGGGCTTGATTCATGCGGGGTCAACATTTGCACAAGGTGATCACTTTGAAGTCTCCCACCCCAAAAGCGTGCAAGTGGATTCGTGGATGCTCATGCACATCGGTATTGAACACTTCCACAAGAAACACGTTGAGCTCAAAAAGCCCGTTGGACGCGCTCATTTCGGAGCAATTGAGTCACATGGCTGCAAAGGATGCCACATATGATTGCCCGTGTAGTCGAGAATCCTGCCGCTGTACTTGTGCAATGAAGGATCCGCTCATGGTAGCCCACCTCACCATTTCGAAACGTTCAAATCAAGTGAAAGCAGAGTGTTTCCAGATCTCAACCCTCAGGCCGAGGCGACGTCCCAGCGTCTCTTCCTTCCCAACCACAGGGCTCCTTGGGTCTTTTTCCTTGAGCCCGACTCCCGCCTGAGTCCACGCCCATGCCGGCCCCCGTGCAAATCAGCAGCGCTTCCGCTTGGCGCACCAAATCCGCCGCCGCGGCCAACGGCGCCGCCGCCATCGCCATCGGCCCAACCGCGCGCACCGGCGGAGGTGGCGACGGAAGCGGCCGTCTCGCTGATTGGCCAGCTGGAACTCGGCGCTGAGGCCTTCGTTGCTGATCTGTGTGACTGACTTGGCCGTTCAGCTTGTTGCTCAGCGATTCGCCCTAGTTGCTGACATAGCGTGCGCGTCTCAGATACCGCAGGATTGGATTGAAACTGCTGCCAAAGCAAGCCATCAGCAGTGCCACGGTTCGTCACGATTTGGCCCACCACGTCAAACTGACTGCATCCAATTCTCTGTTCTTTGTCTTAGCCTGAACAAACTCAGAAACCGGAAAACAGGAATTGGGCTGCAGCTGAATTGCAATTGCACGGTTTCGCTCCAGATTCAGTGGCAAGAGAGTGAAGACTTCATGACTTGTGCTTACCTGCATACCTCTGATGACAAGGACTTGCCATTGAATTTGTGTACATCCTGTGTCCAGGTTACAAACAAGCACAGGGCGCCCTCAGCGATCGCATAGCCAGGAGTCACCCGAAAGGAACAGTGATTATGTTGTCAGGGCCAAAGGAAACACAAGCACGGTGACTCCTTGTGAATGCATAGCGTGCCGAAACACTAGCAAAATAAGGTTTACTCGAGTTGGACTGCTCCCGGTTTCCTCTTCAAATTCCTTGCTCGTTTCCTAGGACACCTTTCTGAGAAACTCTCGATGGCGATTCACCCGGACAACAAGAGACCCGGCTGCCATGAGAAAATCGGCTTGCTCGCTTCTGGCTGGCCATTGCAAGTGAAAAGCCCATCTGCGGAAGGAAGGATTCAACAAGGAGAGCCAGGGGTGTGGGAATCCCACCCCACTCCTCTGACACCAACGGGAAAGCGGGGCCTTTCCAACGATTCAGTCTTCACTCCAGGGGCAGCAATTTCCTGAGATCACAGAAGTGGATGAACCATCCGACCTACTTCCCACAACAATGAAAATTGGGAGGGGGACGGTGTCGTTGCCCTGGAAGGCAGACCAACATGAATCAAATGTGTTGCAACTTCCAACCTATTCTCAGAACACTGAAGAGAGTTTACTGAACAAATGCTCCAGCCCGTCACTCCGGGCCTTGGCAGAGACCCCCTTGCACCTCTCGCCCTGAGCTCCGAAAACTGCAAGCCCAGTGGGCGGTTTAGAGAGGCTGGAGTTCTCAATCCGGTTCACTCCTAATTGAGCTATCCTGAAAAGGAGCAGCACCCCTTGGGCAACTCAAGAAGAATTGTCAGTGTCTCCGTCTGTGTCTGCTTTTTAGTTGCTTAGGGTACACTTTTCAGGTTGGCTTAAAGGGAAACCAAAAGGCAAGCGGCCGTTTTTCAAGTTCTGCTACTTTGACACATGTTGCCTAAAACAACATCATAGGCTCATCCAGAGAATGCCCCTTGAATTGAAGCAAAATATAGCCATAGCCATGTCATACCCTAAGCCAAAACGATTAAGGCTTCGATGCTTCCCGGACTCCATGTGTCTCCCGCATCCCGAGGCAGTCTTAGGACTGAATGCCCACACTTCTCAAGAGGTCAGAAAACCAGCGAGGTTCCTACACATCTTGCCAAAAAAGACAAGGCCAAGCACACTATTTGACTTGGGCCCCCCTGAAAAAAAAAGGACAAATATAGGGAGCCCTCTCCGGGAAGGGGAAGGTTTGCTGCGTTGCAGGCCCTTCCCGGGTTTGAGGACTCCAGGTTCCCCAAAAGTAGCCCGAGAGGACAGGTCTGCTTCACTGCAAAGACCAGTGGGTAGAGTAAGCCAAGCGCCTTTTTGGATGCGCCCCAGTTCTGTATGAGAAATTTCAACAGCTTGAAGGCCAAGACTTCAGCAATCCCTTCCCCCCTCATCAAGGCGGACCCCCTATAATGAATAACTATCTCTGAGGGACAAAAAATACTTATATAATAGGGTCCTTTGGGGTCGACCGGATTTCCACTTCAGTCCTTGTCCAAATGAGCTCCTCCCCCCCTTCCCGGGCACGAAAAGCCTCGAAACCGCAATTTTCCGAGTAGCAAAATTAAGCAAGCATGTTCGAGTTTTTTTTTTTTTGGAGATTCAAAAGCAAATGTCGCAGTTTACACTAATACTAAGAGTTACAATACAAGAAATACGTAAATTCGAAGAAGGTAAGTATGCATATAGAATTTGGTATTGGGTTGGTGCAAGGAGCCCCCTAATAACACTGGGGCTGGTCTGGGCGGAGACATCGGACAGTTTAGTATTGGTTTTGAATTGGGCTATTCTAAAAGTAGTACTGGGGACCCGGCTGTTTCAGCCAGTCTGGACAAAATAGTATTTATTAATAGGGTCCATTTACTAACAGCGGGAGCGGATTGGAGGGCTTGCACAAAGTAGACGGAGTGACCACATACGTCTACTATTGGCCAACCGCACTGCTCCAGCAGGGTCATGTCCAAACATAGGGCACCTAACAATCAAGCATCCCAAATCTGCAGGCGGCATTCAGCAGCAATCTTCCAAGACCAATAAACTAAAACATAGCCAATCAGTGTGGGGTTCCTCTGAAAACGGACCCTCCAGATTCAGTTGTTCATGGACCGCAGGTCAGGGACTACCCCCCTCTCCCAAGTTTTAGGTGACAAATGAGGCCCATAAGACAAAAACAAAAAAACAGCCTTAACGGTACCTTCTTTGACCCCGACAGCTGAAAGCGGTCTTTGCCCAAACAATCTCCGTGGTCCAAGGTGGTCCGCGGCGGCTCTGAGGGTATGCATGGGGTGCTTCCGAGGAGGGTTGCAGCATAGGGGCAAATTTCTGGTAGCAAAGCCCTAGAACCCTGGAGCGGGAAGATCCTGCCTGGAAGTTGTACATGGGCCGGCCCTCCTGCCGCTTGTCTGACCTCCCATGCAGGGACTATCGAGCCAAAGCCATGAATCTCCGAAAGAGGGGCTTTTGGGTTCAATATGACTCTCCCAAAGCCACAGAAAAAAACATATGGATCCTGTAGTGGGACATCTACTGAGTCCTCGACCAAGTCCTAGATATGGATAGACAAGTGTCCAAATATGGTGACCCCCTCAAAAAAAAAACAGGAACACAACATGAAATAAATGCGGCTCTCCTTGGGCTCCCCGGTAAGTCGAACCAAACAAGGGTATCACAAATACCCAATGGACCAAACCTCCCGCGTTCGGCTCCAGGCTTCTCTGGGCAGAAGAGCTTGCTCTCGAGGGAAGTGGTCAGGGGTAACATCGCCTGGACGGATCCCCCGGAACGAGGGCGGCTGAATCGGTCTCTTTGGGGTAACTCGTTGACCCTGGAGTCATGTTGACCCCTGGTTGTTCGGGGGGGCCAACCTGGGTCCACAACAAAAACATCCCGGGTCGACATTTGCGTTCTTTGAACGGTTGGTTCTTACTGGGTTCCCCAAGCCCTTTGCAAGTTTTCGCACAGCATTCGCACAGCATGGTCTAGAACAAGCACCAAAAAACCAACCCCTTGCGCACGCTCGCAAGGACTTGCCCCGTCCTATACTTTGCGCCACGTTGACTCGGGCAAAGCCAACAAACCAATCGCGCACGGACAGGTGGAGTCGCAGGCAACTCGATTTCCCCGAGGCCACGTCGCGAAAACCTGCTTGGTTCCTTGGCTTCCTTTCAATCCCAAGCGCACTATGGTGAAATCGCCCCTTTGGCCCTTGCAAAAACCAAGAGATGGCACCCATGAACAAGAATCCCCTCTTGAAACAATCGAAGGTAAGCGTCAGTCTATGCCGTGGGCTTTCTTTTTCCCCAAGCCCGTCCATGAGTTGAAATCAATGCAAGCCATGTAAAGAAAAATATAAAGGTGGTCGCACACCATTGCTGGGATACCCTCCAATTCCCCGGAGAATGATTTTGGCTCACATGATTTTACACATGCCCAATATCTTTCGGCGAACCCCGGCTTCTAGAGCTCCAGGTAGAGGCAGCTGTTCGCCTTCCAATAGCTGGCCAAAACGCTGCTTCACTGCTCAATGTGAGGAAACACATGCACCCTGGTTGTCCTCGACATGAACCGTGACCCTACGTGCACTCAACTGAAGGGAGATGGATTGAAACCAACAACAAAACTCCTCCGCTTGATCCTGCCACCTTTTTGAAATCATGCCGGTTCCCATTCAAACCAACGGGAACCTTGACCAATTGCCTACCTCTGTGGTGATCCTTTAAGGATAGCTCTCAGCAGCCCTGTACTCTGCAGATTAGCTTGGAGGAAAGGCCAAAGGACACCTATACCATCTCAGGCCACCCATTTTTGGGGCTGCTTTTGATGAAGAAACCAAAGGGCGCACGCCCATGAGTTTTGCCCATTCAATCCCGCTAAAAGTCCTTCTTTGTATTCGGAACTTGCTTTTCAAGGCTACCCTTTTGGTTCAAACAGCATCCAAATTGTCACCCCGTGGTTCTTTCCGAAAACCGCCCTCGTCTCACCCCCTCCCATCCTTTCCCACCCTCAGGAAAAGCATGGTGGTTATATGAACCCGACCCTTTATGGCTTTAGTCGCAGGGGCCCCCAAAAAGCCGACCAAGCCACGGGAAAATCCGAACCGACCCGCTCCGCTCCTGGGCGGAGAAGAGCTCCTTTAGGCTCTTGGAGCTGAAACTCAGCTTCACCGCCGCGTGCTTCGTGACCTTGGCGAAGAGCAGCCCGCCTCGGACTCGAAGCGGAGCGCCGAAGCTGGGCGCTTGAGGAGGACCACCGGACTCCGTGTGCGCAAATGTGTGGTTACATATATATATATATAATATATATATATATATATATGTTATGCATATGATAACAGAATGCATATATATATATATAAATAATATATATGGGGTTCCAAAAATATACACACACAAACCAATGGCTAACTCACAACTAATCTGATGATCAGCAACTGTGCGCCAAAGGGGAAGACCATGTTCGCAGTTGGCTGACTGCGTCGCGGAAAGACATCTGTATGTGGGCATGGATTTCCGCAATCACGAATCCGTACAAAGGCGCTTGTCCACATTCGCTACTGATTGGCTAATCAGTGCATGACCATCAGAATTTACCCAAGGCAGGGAATATGTGCTTTGAGCAGCCATGTCGACATGTTTGTTTATGGCTACAATTGTGGTCGTTTGGAAGCTTCCGACTCACATCTGCACAATGAATGCAGTTTGTTTCAACAACTTGTCTTGTGTGTCCTAGGGTAAACCAAGGTCATCTGAAATCTGTCCCCGCCCCCCCCCCCCCCTAGGCACCGTAGAAGATACCTAAGCACGCACAAGTGAACCTCCCCCCGATGTCTATCGGGTGAAATGGGCGCCGTTTTTTGGGCCCAACGGCATGAAACATTTCTGAACGGGGTAGGGTGCTTTGATTGCCAAATTCAGCCTCTGACATTACCCCTCCTCCCACTAACATGGCATTTGTGGATCCTCTGTCAGGTGCCATGTTAGTGGGAAGAAGGGTAGTTGATTTTGACTTGAGCCCCCCTCCAACGGAAAAACGGGAAACAACCAGAATTCCCTAGAGGTTCCTCCAGGTCGTTTGGCCTGGCTCGCTAAAGGTGGTTTCCGGCCCAAACGGGCACGGGACCTAAGGCGAGCTCACCATTTCTAGGGCACCTCGAAAACCATCCCTTGAGACCCATCCAGACTGGTCCTTTGCAGAAGATTTGGATTGGGCGCTTGTTTTTTCGCGTGGCTTGCTGTTTGCCACTTGCAGCTGACAGAACAACATGGGTGTGCCGTATGCCTATGTTGGAACCCGCCCCTCCCGGCGAAGATTGGGCTTAAGAAAAACACGAAACATCCAAGATTTGGAGGAGCCGCGTTTTTGGCCGCACACACGCCGCTATAGATTCCAATCCCAATCTAAATCCATCCTCCTCCCACAATGCCGCAAGAAATTTGGTTTCCGGAGACGTAAAGATCGATCCAGATCCGAGTCCCGAAACTCATCCGATCCCCAACCGCAATCATTGGCGACAGTGGCTGATAGGCATTGATTCCTTTCCCGTTCTTTTCAACAATCGCTCCTTCCAACTGGCCGTTGTCCCGTTTCCGGAGGTGTTCTAGAAAGACGGGTCCATGGAAAGAATGGGGAAGGCACCCCTAGATGAATCCTTTTTTACTGGCTGCTAGTCTTTTTCATCCGCAATCCGCGCTGAGAGGTTTGGGTCAAAACGGCTCGTATGTTGGGCTTGGGGCATGGGTTGCACTCCGTGCTTGGGCCATCAACCCATGATCCGCAACCTGCAAGCCGCATGATCAATCCATAAACCGCACAATGCGCAATCTGCTAATTGAGGATTAGGTTTTGAAGAAACTATCCCACATCAGGCACGACAGCACGCACTTTGACAAGTCTGAGTTTGCCCTCGTTCTCACCTTCTGTTCCCAGCTTGCCGTGTCCCCTTTCGACTTGGACCCAGACAATGGTGTACTTGTCTGGGCTGCCCTCAGATCCCCCGCGTAAATGGAAACTACCACTAAACACTCGAAAGCTAAAAGGATCTAAAAGGCTAAGGGGATGGCTAGCCAAGTTGTGAAGGTGGCCCCCAGTGCTCGGGCCGAGGAAGGATCCTCCGAGCCGCGCAGGACAAAGGCCAGGTTGTTGCCCAAGCGCCCAGAGCCATCAGTCACCTGCACAGCTCGATGGCTTCAAATGGCTGTGGCTCAAAATTAGACAGGAGGGGTTGCGCAGGTTTCGGTCCATGCTTCCACTTACCATGGTTCCAGTTTGGCACCGGTTTTTTCAGCCACAGCCAAATCGGTGGCCATCCGCGAAGGAGAGAAATGTCCTAAGGGCACCTATGACCACTGCAATCCTTTGGAACACTTCCGAAATGCTGTGAGTCTTGAAAAAGCGAGTCATCATCAATGGGCTTAAAGAGGTCGTTCAACAACCCATGGCACAAAATCGATAAACTTCTTGCCGCTTCGAAAACTATAGTTGGGACTGTCCCCCTTGCCCTCTACCTAGGTTTTGCGTGGCTGTCCCCTTGGATTCCTTGGGGGTTCAAAACCTGGAAGCATTCCAGTTGTGCCGATCTAAAGACGTGATGCTTCTTTTTGCTGGGGTGAAAAATCCTCGCGCTATACCCTGCACTGTAGGGGTTCTTCTTTTGTTGTCCATGTCGTGCAGTTCAAAGTAAGAAGGTACAACAAGGGATGCAACCAAGTACCGAATCCCAAGCCGAACGGTTCGCGTCCGATTCATGCGGATTCTACTGGTCTTATCCGAAAGCCTTATGACGGGATGGAAGATTCACGGATGCTTGATTCACGTCCACAGTATTGCTATACAACTTGATCCCAAGTGAAGTCGTTGAGCTGCAAGCACCTAAAGGAACAGTGGGTCCCCAGAGCCTCAACTTGCTGAGTGAACAAAGGTGGGCCGATATCCCATAGTTGACTTCCTCGAACCTAATATCTTCGCTGAAAAACTCGTCACTGACATGTGTATCTTTGCCACGACTTTATGGCCCGCTCCGACTCGCACACATGCACGCCTACCTCCTGCTCAGACACTCCTACGTTGGGATGTTCTTGGGACTTCAGACGATATTGTTCCACGATGCGGATACCTTCTCCAAGTGACCGAAGCCCCTCCAGAATTGAAACAAGCATCAACCTGAGTTTGGAGAACCGGGTGACGTTCACTTGTTGTCATTCCCACCTGCAACTGGTGAGCGCTAATCTACCGAGCGCGCCTGCATGACAGGCCCTTCTTCTGAAGTCGTGGGTGCGGGCTGCGTGGGCTGCACCGTCTGTGCGCCGGGTGTGGTCGTCCGCGCGACGGGTGTGGTCGCCTGTGTGACAGGCGTAGTCGTCTGCACGACGGACGTGGTCATCCTGAGTCGTAAGTGGGCAACTAGGATCGTGCTTCATTTGGATAGCTCACTTCCCTGGCCAAGCAAGCGGGATGGGCATGGGGGTCCCATCCCCAAACTACTTCCCCAAACAAGTGCGAGCTACCAGTTTACCACACTGGTTATTGCTCACATGTTTGATGAGTAGCAACTAGCAACTAACTGGATCTGGGTGAATAATAATCCATCAACCTTCAAAAGCCCCACAAGAGAGAAACCTTCATGAAGAATTGGGCACAAACCCGATTCCGGTCCGGTCAGGTTCAGATCGAATTTCAGAAAGGGTGCCAAGGGCGCTGATCATGTCCCAGGAGCGTTCATGTAAGCCAGCCCGGCGGCTGTTTGAAAAGTGACCGACAAGCCGTCGTTCGCAAAGGTCGCAGCTTCTACAATGGCCATACTCAGATTCACCAAATTCAGCCTGCAAAGGCCTAAAGAAGAAAACATGGTCAGCAAATAATCCAACTATCTAGATTGGTCTGTGACCGCCTGCAAGGACTTTGCTTTTTGCTGGATACTGTAGCGGCAAAACAAATCAAGGATCAAAGGCAAATGCAGGGACTTCAAATAAGAAGTTGATTCCGGGGGCGAACATTGCCAATAGTTTCCCGTGATCAACGCCAACCCCCAAGTGGCACGGAAATGATCATAGGCCCTTAGGCATCCTTTTGGAAAATGGTACATGAATAGAACTAAACCGAAACCGGTGGAATTCCTCTATGTCCAAAGAAACAGAACAAACAGGACACTGGAAAAGATCCACCGCTCTCCGAAATCCCCTTCTGAAGCAGTCCCCTTGAAGCAGCCCAGTCCGAGTCGCGAGGCTTCGGCCTCGGATCTGAGACCATGACACTAAGGGTAGCCATTAGCGAAGGGCACCGAGGGCACATGTTTCTGACGCAAAGCTCCTCAGGTTTCGAGGACACCTTGCAGAAACATACCAAGTTTGTCGGTGTTCGGCGGGTTTTCGGTGTGGCCAGCCCGGCCACCCTGGGTCATGTTCAAAAACCAAAAAGAAATGACATGGGAATGGGTATGGGTCGAGACTAAACCAGGAATTGGACCACAGTTTTTGGTGAATTGTTTCCACTTACCATGGCAAGCCATTTAGGGTACCTATTTGTGACAACCGCAGCCACAACATTCCAAATTTCAGCACGTCGTGTCGAATGTAAGACGCATCACAGGCCGCAAACCTATGGTTCTTCCCACTTGAGGTCTATTAACCCCCTTACACGGAAAACACCCAAACAACACAGGGGATGGTAAAAGCCGCCCTAAGGTTTGAGTTGAGACAAGCCCCCATAAATCTACAAGACTTGGGGAGTTCTATATGCGTTATATGGGCATGAATTTACTTAGGGACCCTTTGTGGGCATTTGGGATATGGTGGGATTGATGCCCACCAAGCACTTTTGAGGTCGTTCCTCGTGAAAACTCATACAGACCGCACTGGTTTACAGCTGGCTGTTGGTTGGAAGGGAGCCAAGGAGCTGGGGGTATCCCAATCTTTGTCTGTAAGAGAGCTAAGGGGCTACCGATCGGAGGTCTGTAGGGCTGTCAATGAACCTTTGAGAGACTTATGCAAAGCTCCCAACCTCAACCATGCCATCTGCTTTTTCAGAGCGTTGCGTTACTGAATAGAGGTCTGCAAAGTCGAAATCCGCATCATCCCTACCCAGAAAACGGGTGCCCGTTCTTGTTTGCCGATTCCATGTTAAGAAAAGCAAGCCCACTAAGGCAAAGGGCGAAAAAAAGGTGCCAATATGTGCCAATGAGCAGCTTGGAACAAGCCGCCCGTTTTGCGTTTTGTGCGGGTTCTGACTTGTGCGCCACTAGCCATGGATTGCCTTGAACATCAGACCCTTGTTCACGTCCGTTGGCATTGATCCATCTGGGGACCCTTCCACAAGTTCGGTCTCCTTTTGGCTCCGTCCGTAGCCCCCTACGGCGGCTCAGCCAGGTCGCTGCTGCCGACGTGCTGGCGCGAAAGGTGCCTGCCATCGCTGTTGGCCGACGCCTTGTCCCTTTAGCTTCCCTGAAATGAGGACACACCGTCACCCAATCTGGGCGACAACAGCAGAGGGCCAAAGCTCTGCAAAAAAAACAGAGAGAATGATCTACCCTTGCAGAACTCCGATCGGTAGCTCCGAAAGGCTCCCTCTTCAAAACTTGGATACCCCCAGCTTAGCTCACTAACCACCAGCTAGGAATGTCAGCAAAAGGACAGACCCATTGAAAGGTACGTAAATCCAAAACCACCCACAAGGAAACCTGGAAGTGCACAGGCTTCCAGAAGGACGGCAGTCTTACGTCTCACCAAATCAGAGGCGACCCAAGACTCGGGCCAGAAGCTTTCCAGATGAGCTGACCATCTGGCACCAGAAGGCCACATGACTCTTTGGCACTGCTCAAGTTCGCAACGGGCAACTCAATGCGATTTTTCGCGACAGCTCTCGTCGCCCTGCCTGCGCTATGTGCAACCTGGCCGCTGGCGGGTTGGGCTGTGGGTATGTGTCAACAGCCACAGAGCTTCAACTTCAACCTAGTCGAAGACTTGTTTGGCACGGCTTTCCTGGCTTGCCATTAATTGCGCGACATTCTTGGCACTTCTTGTTGGATCGTCAAAGTGTCGCTAGAAGGGGGAATCACCAGATTTGCACAGCATGTGTCCAAGGTAGAGACCCTCTCCCACAGAGCAGTCAGCTAGTTTGTCTTGCTCATGCCCCCTTCCCCCCGGTGCTTATTCGCTGACTTTCGCTCAGATGTCATTCCGCGAAAGCGATTTCATCACAAAGGGTTCCAGCCATGCATGATCATCTACGGCTAGGGATTTTACCAAAGACCACTTGCATTGGACAACGGGACTTTAGACATGCAACTAAGATGGTCTTCTAGAAAGGGGTCAGACTCACTGGACTTCCCCTTCAAAAGTTGCAATTTATGGGCGGTGTCCATGGAAACTGCCACGTTTGGAGGATCCAGAAAGGGAAATGGTGGAAACCCTGAGTTGGGGGGGACCTGCAAACCAGTCCGGCAAACAACGGAAAGCGCCTGCCACGGCATGCGATGGCTTTCCCTTGTTTTCCCTTGCTTTCCCTTGCCTTCCTTCGCTTGACCTTGCTTTTTCCCTTGCGTTGCCTTGCTTTCCCTTGCTTTCCCTTTCCGTTGCTTTCCCATCTCCTTGCTTTCCCTTGCTGTCCCTTGCTTTGCTTTGCCTTGCTTTGCCCGTGCTTTAGCTTGCTTTGCCTTGCTGTCCCTTGCTTTCCCTTGTTTTCGCTTGCTTTCCCTTGCTGTCCCTTGCTTTGCCCGTGCTTTTGCTTGCTTTGCCTTGCTGCCCCTTGCTTTACCTTGTTTTCCCTTGCTTCCCTTGCCTTGCTGTCCCTTCCTTTCCCTTGTTTTCCCTTGTTTTCCCTTGTGTTCCCTTGCTGTCCCTTGCTTTCTTTTGCTTCGCCTTTCTGTGCCCGTGCTTTTGCTTGCTTTGCCTTGCTGTCTTGCTGTCTCTTGCTTTCCCTTGCTTTCCCTTGCTTTGCCTTGCTTTGCCCGTGCTTTTGCTTGCTTTGCCTTGCTGTCCCTTCCTTTCCCTTGTGTTCCTTTGCTTTGCGTTGCTTTGCCCATGCTTTTGCTTTCTTTGCCCTGCTATCCCTTGCTTTCACTTGTTTTCCCTTTCACTTGCTTTCCCTTGCTTTCCATTGCCTTCCTTTGCTTTGCCTTGCTTTGCCCGTGCTTTTGCTTGCTTTGCCTTGCTCTCCCTTGTTTTCCCTTGCTTTCCCTTGCTGTCCCTTGCTTTCCTTTGCTTGTCTTTACTTTCCCTTGTTTTCCCTTTCCCTTGCCGTCCCTTGTGTTCCTTTGCTTTGCCTTGCTTTGCCCGTGCTTTTGCTTGCTTTGCCTTGCTCTCCCTTGTTTTCCATTGCTTTTGCTTGCCTTCCCATGCTTCCCTTTGATTGTCCTTGCTTTCCCTTTCCCTTGCTTTCCCTTGCTGTCCCTTTCTTTCCCTTGGTTTCCCTTGCTTTCCCTTGCTGTCCCTTGCGGTCCTTTGCTTTCCTTTGCTTGTCCTTGCTTTCCTTTGCGTTGCCTTGCTTTCCATTGCTTTCCCTTTCCCTTGCTTTCCCCTGATTTCCCTTGCAGTCCCTTGCTTGCTGTCCCTTGCTTTCCTTTGCTTTGCCTTGCTTTGCCTGTGCTTTCGCTTGCTTTGCCTTGCTGTCCCTTGCTTTCCCTTGTGTTTCCCTTGCTTTTTTGTTGCTGTCCCTTGCTGTCCCTTGCTTTCCTTTGCTTTGACTTGTTTTGCCCGTGCTGTTGCTTGCTTTCCCTTGCTGTCCATTGCTGTCCCTTGCTTTGCCTCGCTTTCCCTTGCCTGGCTTGCTTTCCCCTACTTGCCCTTGCTTTCCCTTGGTTTGCCTTGCTTTGCCTTGCTGTCCCTTGCTGTCCCTTGCCAGCTTGACCCAAGTCAGAGCAAACCAACAACTGCACAATCCTCCTGCACTGAATCACATACAAGCAACAACCCAAACCAGCGCCCGTACTTACACACCCTGGGACCTGCAAACCAGCCTTGCGGTGGCAGAAAGTGCTCCAAAAAATACTCCCAAAAAATGGAGTATTTTTCCTGCGACATCCCCAGCATCGCCGACCACCACAAAAACTTCCAAAACAAGCGACATCCCCTGCATCCCCGGCATCCCCTGCATCCCCGGCACCCCTTGTGCGCCCAAGTCCGGCGAGGCCGGAAGCAAAGTAAAATGATGTAAAACTGGCACGCTTTTTGGCCCGCGAGAGCCACAGACGAAAAGGTCAGGCGAAAAACACAGGGAAAAACACCAAAAACCAGCCTTGCGGTGGCAGAAAGTGCTCCAAAAATTACTCCCATTTTTTGGGAGTATTTTTCGGCTGACCAGACCTGCAAATCACCGGAACGAGGTTACCCCCCCCCCCACACCCCCCCCCCCCACAACTTCGTACACTAACTCCCAGCGCTTCAAGAAGCGCTTTCCGTCATCTATCACTGACTTAAGCAAAACAAGCAAGTCTGCCTCTGACTCTGACTGCAGGTACAGGTTCATCAAAGCTGCGGCATCCCTGCGCGATTGCAAGCAGGGTGCATGCGACATGGTGTAAATTCAGCCAACCCGCCCACCAATGACTGGCAAGTGCGCAATCCTGAACAAATCATCAATGTCTCGATCCTCAAAACCAGAATCCCCAGACGGAGGGCAAGGCATCCAGCGCGCCTATCAGAGATGATGAAGGCAAGCAGCAGCGCGGTGGCAACCAGCGCCTCACAACACAACTCTTCATGTGCGCTTTCCCCGGGTTTGGTCCCAGGTGTTTTGGTGTTTTTTTCCCGGGGCTGGGTGAGTTTCCCATGAAGGCTTCGCAAAAGTTGAAAATCTTCTCGCTGGGGGCGTCCTGACTGGGGACCAAGAACGACTGTGGTTGCCGCTGGACAGCTTTGGCATTCGCATCACGTCCACTCTGGACTCAACTCGATGGATCGGTTGCCGACGCTTCTGCGCAAAGCCCAAGTGGAAAGGATACCAAGGCATTGCACCGAGGCACAATTACAGGCATTTGCACAGATTAATTAACGCCCCAACAGGAGACTATGGTCTTCCCTACCCCTATCATGGGCGAGCTCATCTTACCACCTGGAGCTTGTTCATTTGTGGAAAAGCATGCGCTTCCCCCTTTGGGCGCCGCCTTAAGACATGGTACATCACGAGCATAAGGCTTTGCACTGAGAGGTCGATCTTGCCATCGCATGTGCCTCTGGGGTGGGTCACTTGGGCGGCAACGGTTCCCTGGGCTATCACAGAAGAGCTTGCAAAATGAACCCATGTACTTCCCATCTCTCAGCATATTGGGACCTTGGCTCGTTTCAGGGAACCATCTGCAAGTCAACTTCCCTGGAAGGGAAATTAGGAAAACCTACAACTCATTCCAACGCAATTGCCACTCGCTGCCCCCTTTCCGCGAAGCTGCAATAAGCAGCAGGGATCTGGTACAGGACAGCCCGCAGCATCGGCAGCTAGTCTCCTCTCTGTCAAGCCGTGGTAAGCCTGCGCGTCCTTTTGGGAAAATAGATGGCGCCGATACATGATTTGAACCTAACCGAAAGCAGCAGAATCCATCTATTCCCAGTTTCAAACCAACTGACACAAGAATGTCACCGATTGTCAAATGCCAATTCTCATCCTTGTGAGCTTGTGCACTGCTCATCGTCTGTGTGAAAGGCGCCACTGGACACTGAAAGAGCTACAAGTGTCGACAAGTCCCCTCAACCCTGCGACATACTTAAACACGTCACCCTGACGTCACACTGGGGCCTGATCCTTCCCTGCCACACATGCTGCATGATCTACAGGAATGGGGCGCAAAACAAAGTGGCTTGGAATTGTTTGAGTAGCATTGTGCAATTCTAATTTAGTATTTGGAGATCAGAGGTCTGGACAAACTCGCGCCTATGATTCGAGTGCATTTGTTGATACAGGGAAGCGAATACCAACAGAGATTGGCTAGACTTAGACCCCTGCAACCACTGAACTTGTTGCTTCCCGCATCTTCAAGTTCGATTACGTGGCCGGACATGAACCGGTGGTCAGAGACGCAGAAGCACCCAAACGCTTACTGTATCGCGTCGGAGGTACGAATCCCAGGGCGCGAAACTACTCTTAGTTTCTGGACAAATGAGTCCGGAGACGCATGGATGATTGAATTAGGTCGCGCCGGAGCAGTGCATAGTGGGGCACAAGTGAAGGGGGGGGTGCTTTGGAAGGTGCAGGGCAGTTGCCATGGGGATGCTGCCATTGGCGCAAGCAAGGTACTCTGTTAAGAGGGATTCAACCTTCTCCTCATGTGGAAAATGGGGTCTTGTCTCTAGGCCTTGGACCCCGTCCAAAGCGGACAAGCTTGATTCTCCTGGACTTATCCCAAGGCATAATTTGTGGGCCGAGAGTTCTTAAGCCATTGACAAAGGCTTTGACTTCATGGCCAAGGCGGCTGGGCTACTAAGATGGGGACATAGTGGATGTACTCCGTGATATATGTGCCCTTATGCAAGGTGCAAGAAACAGAAATGGGGCATTCGGTCTCCAAACGGAAGGAAACGATAAGCTCAGCCCAGGAGATCTCGGCTGTGCATGCCTAATGAGTTTCTGGCGGCCACACGAGAGAGGTGGCCCATGAAATCAAAGCTGCATTGTACGAGGCACCCCAGACTGAAGCTGACTGCCAGTCATCGCTCACGGGGGTACAGTTTAAAGGAATCCAATCACTGGGGGGAGGGCCTTAGGGCTTAGGGAGTAGTTGAGTTAGCTAAATCGGGAGGTTGTTCGATGTGAGTGGCATTATGTGTACTAAAGAGGGCGCCGATAGCGGCCAAACCCTTGTACACAAGACGCCAAATTATGTCCGCGTCTTTTTTTCCTGAAGAAGGTTCTGCCTAATGAGACCCTCGGCCGCATCATCCTGCATGACTGCTGCTTTGGCGGCAAGGTCTGCACACTCATTGCCGAACTGGCAGAAGGCAAATAAATGGTCCGACGTGAATGTTTGGTGGGACCGAGTGGACGACGACTCGGGCCCAGCAAGATGGCAAGGGCCATCAGCAATGAGCTCAGCACGTTGAGTGGTAGCCCGAATTGGCGATTTGCAGCTAGTCAAAACGGGGAATGAAGCAACTAAGTCAATGGAAAATGTTTTTGTTTGGGCCGAGTCACATCATTGCAACATGAGCCCCGGACAATGTTACTTGGGTGAGCGCAACATTTGGATGGCCCCCCCATGCCCTCCCCAAAGTAACAATCTACGACCAATATTTTTTGTCAGTTGCTCACATGGCCATGTTTGGGCCACCAAGCCAGCCATGTACAAGCAACCCACCGGTGACGAGCCCAGTCTTGAGACGCACCTAGATCGTCTTGTTCTTATGGGGGATGTCTGTTTTTAGGGGGCACGCCAAACATTTTGGGTTGGGATTCGGGGATTCGGAAGCCAACGGGCATTTCACCCATTGGCAGTCAGGGTTTCCTCCATTTGCTCAAGTCCCCTGGAAAAAAACAAAAAAAATAAAATCCAGCAGTGATCGGCTCCCATTGAAACCAACAGGGGAAAAAACAGAAAAATGTTCCCTTTCAAAAAAGAAGGTTCCCCTGCTGTTCCCCAACAAAAAACCAGATGGAGGATTCCCTTTCAAAAACGACCGCCGCTCTTTCCCACTCGCCACTCTCTCCCTGTCCTCTGCTTCACGGGCCCGGCGCCTACGCAAAAAAAAAAATCCGCGAGCCGGCGACTGCAAGATGCGGCGGGCAGAAGCGAGCCGGACCCCCAGAGATCCGCCGGAGCCCCGGGAAAAAATGGCGAAACTCTCGTCAAATCGGGCCTATGTGGGTGTATCCGACTCGAATCCGAAAGCCCTCGCTCGTGACGACTAGACCCGTTCCGAAAGTTTCTTCGGCGCCTGCGTCTCCGTGAAGTCGCCACATCCGCCGGCAGCGGCATTGCCCATGGCCCTCGCCCATCTCAGACTCTCAGCCCATTGGGCCAAACCCTTTCCCGGCGTTTTGTTTCGCGCGGGGCTATGTTTTTTGGGGTGTTGGGGGAGATTGCTTGTCGGGGAAACCACAAAAACCACCCATTTCTGGGGCCACCTGCTATTTTTTGACACAGACCCACATGTTCAGAGTTCCCATACAGGGTGTAGAGTTGAGTTTACAGGCCCCACGAAGAGCGAAGAAACCTCCGCCCTGCTGCGCGGAAAAAAAGAAGCAGGCCCAACAGGCCCAAAGCTACACGTGATGCTTATCTCCTTGCAGGTCTGCCGCTTGAAGCGCTCGGGCGAGCATGGGCGAGCAGCGAATTTTTGCCACGCAACACGCCGCCTGCGCGCATGTTGTTCCCGAAAAACAGGGGAAAGCCGTGAACTTGGTCTTGATATACCGGGCTGTTCCTGATTGACGGTACGCTTTTGGGGTTGCTTTCCAAGAAACCCTGTTCTCAGAGGGTCTTTGCTTTGGAGTCAAACCCATATGTTCGGACTCTGGTCTCCAGAAGATATCTTGCCAAGAGGCGACCCCTCTTTGCAATCACATGTGGCCTCAGTTGCAAGTAACGCGCCTGAGTTGCCAAGGCGGCTTACGTACGTGTCATCTTAGCTACCCGATTGGAGCTTGGGCGTGGCAGAGGGCCACCATGGGCAAAATGGCATTTGTGGAGTCAACCAAACCGTTGCCCCCGAGCACCATTCCAAAAAAGGTCTGACCCGCGGGCACAATTTTGTTGGCATGGCCAACTGGAATAGACCAAGGTCTCTATGGGCCGCGCCGTACAGGGATTCAAGTCGACTCGAGAACCATTTGCATTGAACTTGCCGAGGCCTCTTTCAGGTTTCGTCCGTTTGCTTTCGACAATCTATCCAAGGATCACCAACCCGTCTGTCTTGCTCTGCAAGATCGGCGAGCCCTGCCAGGCTCATGTTTGCTCTATTCGCTGAGACTCCTCACAGTCTTATACTCCCACCTTTCCCTGTATTACATCGACTGAAGGCACGTGCAAACAAAGCTCCTATCAAGGAGGCGTCCTAAGAAACCTGCAATCGATCAATTTCACATGTCTCGACTTAAGTCCTTTGGAAAATCACCGCCGAGAACTAGTCAGTGCAAAACCGTCTACAACTCTTGACGGCAAGGTCCGTCTGGGCCAAAAAGCTTCTTGCGAAGCTTCAGGATTCGCCCCAGGGGAAGGCCGAGCTCCTCAGCGCGGGGAAGAAGAGAATCACCTTAAGGGGCTGTGAAAAGGTGCGGCGTTTGGTGAAAAAACCAGGCTGGAAGTAGGACCCCGGCAAAAAATCAGTTGTTTTGCCTGGTTAGTGGAAAACAAAGGGACCCCAAAAAAGCAAATAAAAAAGGGGGAGCTAATTCTGGGGAAGAAAAAAGGGTCGACATTTGGATCCAGTGCATTGCTTCAGCAACTTAGGTAACCCTTGCAAGGGGTCCATTGGTTAGACTTCCAGCATGGAAGTGCACCTTCCCTTCCAAAAGCGGCCTATGCGACAAAGCATGTTGGAGGTAATAAGGGGCCCGTCCATTGGTGTCTTGCGCAACCAACCCTTCGACCCTTCAGCCCTTCGGCCCTTAGGCCCTTCAGCTCCTGCAGATCAGACTTCTCCACGTCACAAATGGTGTCTGAATCCAGTTGGGCGTCCATCAAGGCCTTGACTTCATCCTCAAAGTCACTGTCCATCAGAAATCTGCGTAGTTCCTTTGCCGCTGAACAAGGATCCTTACATTATGCACCGGAACACTGCTTTGTATATGGTGGGCTCCCTATATTTTGGTGGAAAATGCCATGGTTCAAATGGGCAAAATGTATCCTTCAAGGAGCCCTGAACATGAACAGAAATGAGCCTGTCTTTTTGACGAGGGTTCCCTCACTCCGGCTCGCCGACCCGGAGAACAAATTCGCAGCATTTGCGTGGCAATGAGAACCCAGGATGAATAAAACCTGATTAATGGGTTGGGGGGTATCCCATTTGCCGGGGAATCCTTCATTCACCTACTGTAATCCACCAGGTATTTCATCCAAGGTCGAACTGAATTCCTAAAAGCCAGCTAGAGCACTCCAAACCTCCAAAGTGAAAAACATGCCCAACAAAAAACAAGGTGAGATTCCTCCTGTTCCTTGTTGATCATGCGGAAAACCTGCTGGTCCGCGTGGTCTATCGCCAACTGACAGAATTTCCAATCCACGGCAGAACCGGCAACGGAGCCCACCACAGATCCCACAAGAGGCGTGAGCTTGGCAAGTGACAGTAACCCCTGCGGGCCCTTGGTAATGAGATGCCGGCCCAGAAGTGGCCAGACCGCCTTGTTCAATTGCTTGAACACCTGGGCAGTGGCAGTGCTCGGCAATGAAGAGTTGACTTTGCCAGTATCATCTAAACATGTCGTTTGGGCCGCTGTTGCAATGCTTGTTCAAACTTTTAAACGGGTAAAGACCCTCTCTCCCCCGCATTGCTTGCCTGGTTCGGCATACTCTTCAGTGCTGCTCGTCCGGCTGTTGTGCCAGCAGTTTTCGTGGCTACTTGGACGACTTTCTTGGCCACCTCTGAACCAGCCTCGCCCGTGAGGGCCCAAAGCATCATTGCCTGCGTCTTCTCATCGTGCACGTCCTTGGTCGAAATCCAAAGGTCGACCAAACCTGCAGTAGGATCTCTACACCTGGGTTGTTCAAAATGGGGGGATCCCTAATCATTACGTAATCCGTAGTGGGACTCCACTAGAACAAGGAACGCCACTACCGTTTGGCATAAGGATTAAGGATTGATTGTTCACCACCGCAAAGGTGCAACATGTTGCCAGACGTCGACCAGCATCATAGCCCCGAATCTTGGCTACAATGCAGGCGCCTTGCGCCTGCAGCAGGAACCCAGCACCAGCACTTCCAAGAAGATCGAGACCAGGCACTGGGACAGCCCCGGCCAGAAATCCAGAAAATGCATTCCAGCCACAAAGATTGAATTTTGCACTGGCGATACGCTCCGTACGCATCATCTTCTCATCGCTGGCATTGACCCAGCGCTCGCACGGCTCAATGATTCGAGAATGCAGATTGGCCTCCCACAGCCCTTTCAGGCTGTCAGGGAATGCTGATGACATATTATCAGCCTCAGAGTCTTCAGAGTTGCTTCCGCCACTTGACCCAGCTCCACTCATCGCCTTCTGCGAAAGCTCATAGACGCTCTGCAAAATGTCGCTCCAATTTTCCGGGGCAGGGTTGCTGTTGCTTCTTGAAGCCTTTGACGAGCCCGCCTTCCTCTTGCCTCCGGCATCTATACATCGGCATATCGCAAGTAGAAGTGCTACCCTTCGCAGCGCAGCCATGGGGCGCTGGGGCTACTGCTTATCTCTCTGTTCAATCTTGGTGATCTACCCTGGCACGTTTCTGTAGGCATGACTTCAGGATTCATGCTGTCCGCAGCTGTTGAGACGGGCAGTCTGCTCATATCTCGGACCCCGACTGAAAGCGCAAAACAAGTTTCCATGGTTCAGCTCATGTCGCGCACTGGAGATCTGCCCCATTCCATTCCGGGCGTGTGATAATTACACCAAAGTGAAGAGAAAATCCTGGTGAATGCTTACATGTACGAGCTTGCGTCGCAAGTTGATAAACAGGGTTCCCTACATTCTCCCCAAAACATCATCCCTACCAAGGGAAACTCATCTTAAATGAAGTCAACAAAGTGAGCTTAAAACGACCAAAAAGGAGCATATCTACCGCGAAAACAACACACCACTCAGAAGTACCCACTTTTCTTGGCCATGAGGTCGATCCGGAATGGGGGCTTGCCACATAAATCCAGTCACGCCCTTCAAGCGATACTCACCCGAAAACCTAAGCACTGGCTAAATTTCGGCTCCAGCAACACGAACCTACCCCCTCCAGACACCCACTTAGACTTGCAAAGTAAAGCCAGTGGGAATAGCCCTGATAGCTCTGACTTGCTGCAAGCAGCAAACTTAGGCCTGCATCAAATCGGCATCGAATGAAACGGGCAGAGGCAACACACCTCTGAAGGCAGGCAATGTAAGGGGCTAAATTACAGACATAAATTCTATGACCATGATAGAATCTGGCTTTAAAGCCCCCCACTTCAAATCATTCGGGCTCTGGGGCCACTCCAATTGGCTTCACATCAACATGCGCTCCCAACAAACTCCGCTTTTGGACGACGCTGATCCTGTATGGAGCCGGTACCAAAACCTGCCTGGAGTTTGGAACCGGAATGAAGCAAAGGTTGGTGACACATGGGGTGGTGTTTTTTATGGTACTCCTTTGCAACAGGCGTTTTTGGAGGGTCTCCTATTTCGATACACCCAAATGAATGGATCTGTGGGAAACAGTGTCCAAATCAAGGGTATCCCTAATCTGTCGCACCGAAATGATTGCGTTTGATTTGCACCGAGGTATTGAGTCACAATCAAAACCTGGTGCAGGAGTCCAATTAGAACCATGTAGTCAAAAAGGGCGTCTTGTCGCACCTCATCGTCTTTGGCTGTATTGCTCCAACAAAAGATGTGGAAGTGCAGAAGCCAGAAGCCCCTGTTACAATGGGCACTTCTGTGCTTGTTGGTGGTACCCAATTGCATTTGGGGCTCCATTGAGGTATTCTGCCGTTGCGACGGTTTTGGCCCCGGCTCAAGCGGCACACCGCTCATCTCCCCGGGTGAAACGAGTGTATGGGTGCGTTTTCTCTTGAGGTGCCCTTAGGGAGGAAACCAAAGGTCCCCCTATCTGCCCTTTAGGGCTCCGAGACTCGGGGGGGTAGGTCCTGATGTGCCTCCTGATGATTAATATTTCTGGCTTCAAAGGGACTCAAAGGGACAACCACTGAGAAAAACCCATATATTCTGCCTAGGCCTCCCGTGGTGAAACTGAGGTAACGTGCTGCCTGCACAAGGGGCACGTCCCGCACGCCATGCTGCACTCATGGCAAAATTGCTGATGTCCACAACTCAATTTCGTATCCTTGCTTGTCCAACAGGCGCGTCTTCCAACCGGTCAGCACAAAGTGCCATGATATACATTCACTATAGTTTTCCCCTGTCGCCTTCAGTGGCTGGGCAGTGGAAACCAGAAAACATGAACGTTGCGCAGGTTTTTCCGAGTCTCTGCCAAGCGGTCAAAGCAAATGCAGCACGTGGTGTCGCTCGCCTTCTCGATCTCGGTGAGCTGTCTACAAACGTCATCCAAGAGGCACTTCCTGTGCTAAGTAGGACTGGGCAAGTCAGACATCCATCCGTTTCTTCCTTTCTGGGACAATTACACACTATGGAATATAGTTGGCACGCTTGGTGTTAGACCCCCAAAAGATGAAGCTTCTTGCGGGTGAGTGGGGATGTAGTCGTTTTCCACAAGATAAAAAGGTTCAAAGGCCGTGCCAAAGAGTAACCAAGCTTCAAGGCGTCATCATCTGGTGCACTTGCAAGCTGCTGTTCCAAGAGCGCCTGAGGAAGTATCATAGTCTCGGCTGGAACCTGGCCTCTATCTTATACAAGCGGGGTGTGGGTTAAGGTCCCCAAATCAGTCTCCCAAAGGGGAAAATGAAACTACAATCCCGGAAGTCCTTCTACTGGAAGGCCGACGTTCAGACTCCCGCATTGGCCTTTTGCTGGGCCATGTGAGTGGGCCATGTGCAAACTCCCATGGCCATGGTTCCCTCCACAGCTACTTCCTCTCGCAACTTCGCAAGTCATAGGGGTGAAACCTACAGCCTGTCATTAAAAAAAGGCCCAGGATTTGTGGCTTATATGAGCCTTTACTCTGGTTGCCTAATGAACTTCCCGGAACCCCACGGCTCTTTCGACTTCACGAAGTTTCGGCCTTCTGCGACCGCAGGAGGCGTAAGAAGGCATCCCGAAGCCCCAGGCGGGCGTACTCCTCCAGAGCCTCCTCCAGCTGCTGCGCCCAAAACAACTTCGTCCGGTTCGCCTCCGCGGAAAAAAATCAGGGCGAAAGGGAAAAACCGCGGGGGGGGGGGGGCCGGGGAAATGGAAAATGAGGTGTTCACACAGCCGGTTGGTTTGAAATCCTTTTGCTTTTTTTCTGAAGGATCGAGATTTGGCGCAAATATTCGTAGCATAGGTATTAACATTAGTGTTTGCTGTAAGTGAAGCTCCTGCAAGCCCTACAAGTTTCAGAAATGTTCCCATATTTCAAGGATCTACGCATGTCTTTCTAATTACTTCTTTAGGTACAGCGGCGTCCTCTGTATTACTTACTTTCCCATTTTCTGACCCCTGGGGTCCATGGTGTATCGCAGTTGCCTTGAACGCAACAGCAAAAGAAGCGGGGACGCAGTTCATGGACGAAATCCTGCACCAGTTGATAGGTGGTTTGTCCCATTCATGGGGTTTCCAAGGCCGCTGCAGGAGTTCTTCCATCAATATGCTTTGAACGCGACTGACGCAAAAGGACACGCGCGTTTCAGGCTTCCCATTTAACCCACCAAAACACATCTCATCATACCCCAAAAGGCGATGTTCAAATCACCCAAAGGGAAAATTGACTCGGGACCCGAGTCGGCCTGGGCAATGCGATCTTCCATCTGCCGGGCAGCCTCATCCACTGTGTCTCCAAACTCGATGTTCTCGTCCCGCTCCGCTGCTTCCCAGCCAGCTCTGGTCACACGGTGGTTCTCATATCTGTGTCCGCACCTGTCACAAACATCACTCGAGTGGAAGAAGCACCAAATGCTCGCAAAGGGGGAAATCACCGCCGAAGTATGGCAGTTCGAATGACAATCACACTGGGCACACACATAGTGGCTCCAGTTGAACTTGTTGTGCTTCATCCGCCAAAGCCGCACAGTTCGTGTCAGCGGAACCACTGCACCGCTCTGCTGGACACGTGCCTTGTGCCTCTCCAAGTCTTGCACCAGCCTCCGGATTTCCGCACACTCCTCCATGTTGTTGGCCATCAATGCTTCCTGGGCAGGTCATCAACATCGTGACGTTTAGTAATGCCAGTCTTAGACGAGCATCTGCCAAGGATATAACCAGAGCCGCTCAGCATCTCTGAGAGTTGGGGGCATTTTCGGAGTTGCAGATTTGGGCATACTTGAGGGGCGACCCAGAGTTCCAAAAGTCCCCCCAAACTCCCAGAGATACAACGGAGTAAAAGGCCATAGACACATAGCAAAGCTGCAATGATCTCACGCTTCTCGTTGAGCTCGGCAAAGCGCTTGGACAGCACTGGCTCAAAGTCATGAATCTTCCAGAAGAAGTCTTGCCTCAGTTGTCGAGTGGGCTTGTGGGTTCCTTTGAAGCCGAATACCGACATGAGTCCTTATCAGAAAACAACAACTTGTGATATCTTCTAGCCCCCCATTTGGTTGGAGGAGGACACATGATGACATATGATGACATGGACGTTGTTTGGGGACCTTTCTTTGGTGGCACATTGGGATTTTCGCCCACCCACCAGTGACAAGCTTTGCCATGAAAATTCCTCGCCACATTCGCCTCAACACGCGCGTCCCCCAATGCCTTCAAGGGCGGGACACTAAACGACTCCTCCGGAGCTGCACCCCGCAGCTTGCAAAAGGGGGAGGTTGCCGAATCATCTTTGAATTTCTCCCCAGTTCGGCATACCCTCAAGAACTGATCAGGAAATCCACGCTTTTCGCGGGCATCCATTTCCGATTCACGTGGGAGGAGTGCTTTGACAGGTTGCAAGGTCTTGGCCGTCCCTTGCACCGCTTGCGTGAACTCCTGCCGCAGGCATCGGTCGAGCGCGTCCTGTCCGGCAAGGCACTCCTCAACGGCGGCGAGCACCTCGCCAAAGGGGTTGTCCACGTAGGTGCAGGGGAAGTCCTTCAAGTCCACCTGGCTGTGGGTGTCAAAACCACAGGTACCAAAGTGGTTGCCCTGGTAAGTGGAAACATGGACCAAAACCTGCGTAACCCCCCCCCCCTGTGTAATTTTGAGCCACACCCACCTGGCTGTGGTTGTCAAAACCAATGGAATCCCATGTTGGTTGGTAGGTGAATTCACCACCCATTCTAGAACCCATTTTAGTGGGGATTGGGATGTGCACTGGGGGTACGATGTGGATTTGACCCATGGCCACCTGAATGAACTGTAAGTCGTCTCAAAACAAAAAGGCGATTTGAGAATTCAGGATCACCCCTTCCTCTGTCTCAAAGGCTGAATGCATGAAGTAAGCCATGAACTTCTGGCATGAACATGCATGACTCGTTTATTCCATGGCTTGGTTATGTGAAACCAGTCACCTGGATGTGTGGATTTCCGGAAAATGATCTCCCAACCCACACCTTATGCGACTTGGGCACTCGATTGATCCATCCCTCGCGTGTTTGGGGTGTCTTCCATCTTGGGGGAGGTTTTCAAAAGACCTCGCCAAAGCCGCTTGCCCACAAATGGCGCGTTTGGATCGGGTCAAAGTTGATTGGGGGCTTTCCAGGAACACTCAACAAGAAGTCTGGGTTCAAAACCCGAAATATCAAGTTCAGGCTCTTTTTCATGTGAGCCACAAACCCGGAGTTACATGATGCCACATGCAAACCCTGATAGTATCTAGGATTGCCTGCCCAACAGCCATCGAAACATGTCAAAAGGGCTACCTGTGTACGGGACTGTCCCCCTAACCTTCATGTGCCCGAGAGTCATTGTGACTCACCCGAGAGAAGAAATGAACAGGAACCAAGACATTGGATGGGTTGCCACCCCCAAATCATCCAAAAAAGGGAATTGAGGATAACCTCGGGGTAGCCGCTATGCGGGCGGATACCCCATCTTTCCTGGGGGGGAAGTGGTATTTAAGACAACAGATTGCCGCATGTTGTTGCATTTGCGCTGGATGATTGTGAAGGCTGTGAATGCTCAGGTGCCCGGGGATTGCCCATGCCCTTGTTTTTGGCGGAAAGACGACTGGACAAAGCACGAAAAGGGTGCCATTGAACCCTGAAAAGTGTGTGATTTCATGTCAAATACAACTCATTGGCGGCCCGGGCAATTGCCATAGCAAAGTTGTGTGGGCAGTTGAACAACGTGATTTAGGCTTCTCATAGCACTAGTCTACCATCAGCGTCCAACCATGGAATGAGGCGGCTGAACTTGCCGGTGGCTGAGCTTTTGGCTTTGCCGCTCGCCTCATGCAGGGTGCTCGGATTGAAGTTCATCTTCCGCCTGCTCTCGACATTGGTGAACACGACCCCCACTTGCGACAGCACCTGCTGGGGCAAAATGGAGGTGAGCTCAGAAAGGACGTACCGGAGGGTGTGATTCAAGCGGGCCTCTCTGCCATTGATAGTGATGAGCACACAATTGATGGTGTTGACCTTCGCGATGCATGCCAAAATGCGCTTGATGTGCCGTTCGTCTTCAGACATTCCTCGGGTATCACCGAAACCAGGCGTGTCAATCACATTGAAATGGCAGTTACTCGCCAAGCTCAGCTGGTAGAGCTTGGCATCACAGGTCTTGCTTGCCATCTGGTCCTCCAGCGCGTGCTCCAAGGTCATGTCCGAAACCCTTTCCTGGGCGAAGTTTTGCAGCTCCTCCCGCGAAAGCACGCAGTCATCCTCATTCACTGAACGCAGGACGTGCCTGTAGCTGGCGATGAAGTTCAGCAGAGAGGTCTTGCCGGAGCCCGTCTGCCCAAGCATCAGGATGGTGTAGTTGGAACTCTCCCCGAACTTGGTGTACTTGGATGTTGCAGCTCCCATGGCTTGAAAGTGGCCACAACTACTCAAGTGCACCTTACGAGCAAACT